TCTTTACTCTGTATGTGTGTTTGTGTACCTGCAGTAAAATTCAGGTAGGGAGGATTGTTATGGATTATGACTGCAGAAGCCATAGATTTCTATATTTATCTGTTTATAGCTCTCATGTTAAAATAAACTCTGGACAGAACTTACCTAGAGACTGCTCATTGACTAACGTGATGTTAAAAGCTCTTTGAATTTGGCTTTTCATCAGTGTGCAGGACAGAAGTTGTCACAGCATTCATCAACAGTGAATCAGTCTTTTTTCTGTAGTCTAAGAAAGCAAGATTAAAAATACATCTTTCACCAGGCTTCTTAAGCAAGTAAGGTTTAGAGCATCATACTGTGTGCATGTCAGTTCTTTCCTGATCAAACTGTATCATGTAATCTACTTGCCAATTTCAGCCAAATCTGGCAAGGGAGAAGTTGTTAAACCCCAAAGATATTAAGTTCTTAAAATGTTCATGAAATCAGGAAGAGGGATCACAGTCGAGCCCTCTCTGAGGAGAGACATGAACAAGAGTTCAACTATATGATTAGGTTACACCAGATAATATTATTGTAAATAATATATATGTTATTGTATAACAGAGAATCCACATGAGGATGAAAGAGAGAGAGGTGTTACGAATATCCAGCTCTGGGAAGTATCTGCAAGTAGTTTTGCCACCTTAGGCACCACAGGTTCTGATCCCTGGCCACAGTGCAGCAGCAAGCCCAGCTTTGCTCCTTCTGCTGCTCAAGAAACTACTTGATTCTTAATGCTTAGGGACTTCTCAAATGCATTGATGGTGCAGGTCTCATAAATTCCTAGATAGTTGTATCAGGTATTAATTTTTACATTGCAATAGTGCTGTATGTTTACTTCTGAAGTCTTGCCTTGGTCTTTGGAGCTTGGGCTCATGAGTAAGGTCAGTATCCACTTCCAAATAGTATTTTGCATTTTCAGAAGGGCTGTGTCCATACTTGAAAATAAAGTGGACCAAAACTTCTCTGGCCCTAAGGGTAATTGCCAAGACATGCCTTTTATTTGTTAGCCTAAATTCCTCTCCTCTGAAACAGAGTGACCTGGTTCATCCTGCCTGTGGGGAATGGTCCCTGGCCTGAGCCTCCCCTGCAGCCTGACCAGGTCTTGTCTAGGAGAGAGGGCGAGTTTGCATGAACATGATACAGGCCAACACAGAGTCCAGGGACATGCTCACGACTGAGCATTTCTGCCCTGGCCTTCTTCAGCTTGCTAGCAATACTGTAGCCAAGAATGCTGATACTCCAACTTGGTATTTTCTGTACTACTGGGGGCAAGTTGGAAAGAGAGGAATAGTTATATTCGGCTCAGTCACCTGGTCCAGGACATTGGTTGGCTTGGGTTGCATCAGGAGCCTGCTAGATCCTTGTCTCTTCAGCAAATTGCAAATGGAATTAAGTTATTTGAAAATGAAGATGTACCAAAGCTGCACGTATCATCTTTGCAACTGCAACAGATCTTCAGTCAATTGAAGTCCTTTTCAGAGGGAAGTAGTATTTTGAATGTCTGCCCCTACCTACCAGTGTTGAGTTTAGCATCCTTGAAGCAAAACTTTGCAAAGGAACAACCTGGTATAAAGTGCCAATGCAAAGGTGTAAGAAGGCAAAAAGGAGTCAATGACTCCTTCAGTGTTAAAAGGATCAGAACTTCAAAGGCTTCATCAGGTGCTTTCTGAGAGAGCTGTGGGGCTTTCAATGGTTGTTTCCAGTGTTGTGCTTCAGCAAAATCTGAATAAACCTCATAAGGACTTCATCAAAAAGGGTTGTCTTTAGCTAAATCTTTCTAGTAGCTCACTGTTGCCTTGCATATTGTGCATAACATGTGTTAGTAGATTTGTATTGCCATTTGTATTGCCATGTGTTGTGTGTATTTGAGCCATATCACAGCTGGAAATGGGAAGCACTTTGTATTTATCCTCTTGCTCTCCTAATGCTCCTTTCCATTTATGAATGATTCCTTAACTTTCAGAATACCCCTGTGGGGCAAAAGTAGAGAAAATACGCACAAAGCTATTTTCTGGTTTTGGAGGTTTTTTCTCCCCCTTGGTGTGATACATGATAAAAGGCAGCTTGTGAAGTCAGTGCCTGGCTCTGTAAGGTGCATCTGGTTTGGTAGGATGCTTAGGTTGGGTATCAGAGTTTGTACAATGATAGCAAACAATGTACAGATAATTTTTTCCTTCTAGTTAAAGTAGTTTGGAAAGTATAAAGGAGTCAGAATTAATATTTTTGTGTGCAGCAGAACATCCCTTTAGAACATACTCTCAGCATTTAATTTTATATTATTTACTGGCCATTTTTTATTTGCATATTTTTAACACCTAGTGCAACTAGTTTCTGATACTTTTGTTTAGCATACTGTCAAGGAAAAGATATAAATACTAGAAGATGTAGGGGGAAAGTGCTGGTTCCATTGAAATTAGCGGAAGCTTTATCATTCCTTGAAACAGTCAAGATGCCTTCGTGTTCTTGCAGGGTGCTTGTCTCACATCTACTAGTTGTTGCTTTTTTGCAATGCCAAAGATACTTCATTATTTTCTTCCCTTTTTTTCTGTGCCCTTCTAGGATCTCTAACAATTTCTGTAATAGTGTGTCCTAAATTTTGCATTGTTTTCTCAAGGTGACATGGTGACCATAATGTAGGTGACCCTCCTCCATTCAATGACTACTAGCAATACCTCCCATGCTGTGTTTTCTTTCATAGCTATTCTGCTGTTGCCAGACAAAGTTCTATTCATTTATTACCCTGTATCAGTTTCCTGATTTGTTGTCCAGTAATTTATGGCTTTTTGGAGCTTTGGCACTCATTACAGTGCCCAGTGACCCTTGTGACCCTTCTCCCCACATACTCTCTGCCATCTTGGCCCCTGGGCCAGTTTGTTGATGCTGCCAGTTGCTGTGCATATGTTCTTGCCAAACCATGCAGGCTGAGAACCAGGGTCTTTGTTTGACAGCTAGTGTCAAGGATCTAGAATTTAGGCAGCAAGAAGTTGATTGTGCAGAAAGACAGATTCTGAGGGCAAGATTCCTACGTTGCCTCTGACTGTGTAGGTAGTGAGGTGTCGCTGATGCAGTGATGAGCAGGAGAGCCTGGAACAGTCTAGACAGATACACTGCAACTTGAAGAGAATATAGGAAATAAAATACTGAGTAAGTGGCTTTACCTGGAACTCAATGGAACTCTCCCAGTCACCAGTATGCACCTTGCACAGGTGCATAGGGGGGACTTTATCCTGCTGGGCATTAATACCAGTAAAAAATACACTGCCCAAGAGGAGCATGGGCTGGTGCCCTGGGCAGTTACTGGTGATGGCATTGGTGAAGGCATGTTTGTTCAGTGCTTTTGGTGATACTTCATAAATACCAACTAGGAAGATAAATTGTGGAGCTTTTTCCCTTCCATCTTTCACCACTTGAGAGTTCTATTTAAGACATAAAAGATGGTGAGCACTGGGGGAAGGTGGAGAATGAACAGGAAGGGAGAAGGGAGTTGTTTCCTTTCTGATGGCTTTCACTGTAACTAATAGTGTGAACGTGTTCATTTTTTATATCATGAATGATTTGGTATTTGTTGCAGTAGCACAGATCTTTGGAACAGGATTACAGTGCCAATTAGATAAAATACATAGAGTACATGTAAACTCCATCTACATGTACCTGTAAGTAGAAGCTTATAAAATAAAAGAAGTAAACAAATCTGCAATTAGTTCTGGAGCTTTAGTATTTTATTTTTTAAAAAAAGAAGGACTGTAACTTCCCAAAATACATCCCCTTTGTGATGCAATGTGAAAGGATCCAACATTGTACTTACTTCTTAGAATTTCTGGAGAAATGCATTTTGCTGCCAACGTAACATCCTTTAACAGGTCTCCTGCTGGTCAGACCTTATGTCCTGCTGTGACAGCCATGACTATGTGTACAACTGATTGTTAGTAGGCAATATAAATCTGATTGGAACATGCCTGTTAATTGGTTTGAGAGCTCAATACAGACAATGCTGTCTCATAGCAGATTGTGTAGATAGGCCTAGTCATAGGGTTAATTCTGCTTGACAGCACATCAGCAGCATCTTGAGAGTAATTACTCAAGTTTTCCCACAGTTAAACTCAGATCTTCAAAGGCTTCTACATTTACAAGTATTATTAACCTATATCTGAAACATGATGTTCCCACAAGGGCTAATTTTTTCTTCCATTTATTAAATATACAGGTTATAGGGTTCATTTGCTAAGTGCTAAGCCCTTAGAAGAAAACAGTACTGTTAGAGACAGAAAAATCTGCAGTGCACGACCAAAGCTAATGGTGCATAATGCACACATCATTGTCTTTTTGCAAAGACTTTAAAATAAGTTAAAATTTAGGTCTGGCTCCCTTCCTCTCTCCCTTTCTCCCACCCCCTGCTTTCCACTTGAAAAAAAAGTCAAACCACTTATTTCTATGTGCAGAGTGAGTAAATTGAAGACACACACAAATAAAACCCTCCTAGGATGTTGTACAATTAAGTACATTGGATACAATGTTGTTCAATTAAGATCATTGGATATAATACATATGACATTAATGAAATGGTATGTGCTTCAAAAATAGATTGGTAACATTCATGAATAAATTAAATACTCTTAATGACTTTTCAAAAATGAAAATGAATGAGAACAATGTTTATTTCATAAGGACAACTGTGTTCCAGGATTCACAGCGTATTATTTATTCGTGGTTTAAATTCCTCTTATTTTTTCTGCATTAATTTTGTGCTTTTTAAAAAAAAATATATCTTTTTTGTGACTCTACATGTTAAAAAAACCCCAAATGTTAAAGAGAGTAATTGTTCTTTGGGTTCAAATGCCCTTAAATGCATTAAGTATTAGTATATGGAGGTAGACAGTCTTGTTAAAGACAACATTTGCTGGGGAATCAGTCTGACAAATGGCTTTTATGGCATAAAGCAGTTCTTGTAACTTATGATCTTTTTTTATTTTCTTTTGCAGGTCAGAAACAAAGTTTGACTCCAATTCAGGTATGTTTAGATTTACAGTGTTTTGCTGAATGTATATTATTCAGGTTAATCTCAAAAGAGTAGTTTATCAGTTCAAGTTCATTTTGGTTTTAAACAAACTGGGGTAGGTCAGTCTTAAAAAGGATCTTCATTTCTCACCTTCTGAAAATAGCATTATTGCTGTGAAGCATTTGGTTTCATTCCTTTCATTAGCTCCTGTCTCTTTACATTTTCCCAAAAAATGATCAGGAAGATGTATCTTGTGACAGTCTTTAATTGATCCAGAAAAATTATAGTCCAAATAAATGATAATACACACTAAAACAAATGGAGGACTGAAGTGAAGTTTGAGAATGATCGCTGCTTTAAAGGAGAATGTTTTTCTTCCTGGTGGACAAAGACATTTCATGGGAATTTGAAGTCAGTGCAGCCTATCTGTCAGGAAACAGATGATTTGTCATCAAATTTTTGTGACAGATGCATGTACACAACGCATGCCAGACCAGTCTGTAGAGCTCGCTTCAGGAGGTTTACCAAAAGGCAGTCGCTCTCAAGTTGTCTTTTTAAAGAACTTTAATGTATTATAGGGACTGGGAGGGAAGTGAAGGTCAGTATAACAGGTTAATGTGTTTCTAACAAGACAAAAAACACAGGACAGCATACGGGAACAGTTGGGGGAAAAAACAGAGATCCTAATAGCAGACTGTTATTTATTCAGTTAACTAATCCTGGGTGTTCCTTAAAGTTAAACAATGGTAAATTAAGAACGGGCTGTTGCCCTGGAACTAGCTGAAATGTCCATTGCCTGAAAAGGTCATTCAAAACCAATTGTGTTGCTAAGATGAAAAAAACCTAGTTTAAACAGAAAACGTAATATTACTGTGGTAATTTTGTATTTTTTGTACTTGTATAGGTCAGTGTTTTCTTCTATATGGTTTGCTTAATGCAGTGATTGTAATTGCTTAAAATTATACAGCTTTTACAATTTGTTAATCAGAGAATTTGTGAAATAACATGTTTCCTTTTATTGCAGTTACAGAATGATTTGGTTTTGTAATGTGAGGTATTATGTTGCTTTTTCTTTCCACTTTAGATTTTATCTTTTGAACTGTCTAGGAGTGCAATCTACAGCAGGAAGCATTTATACAGCCAATTCCTACATCTTGTATATTTGAGTCATCTTGCTTCTATTATGATTTTAGTCTGTGAGTTAGAGGTTACTTGCTTTAAATATTGTTTGAATGAACTCTTGTGCTAAGATCATTTCTTGGATCTTGACAAAACAGTTTTATATGGAGGGATAGTTTCACATGTTTTCTGACATCAGACTCTTTCTTTTAATAAAGTCAGCAAAACTGTGGTGTGGAGCAGTACGTCAAATGTCTCACTTTTCTCTTGAAGGGAAGATGCTCTCTGCAGAGCTTCAATTTGCAACTTTTGTTGCTTGCCACCCAAACGCAGACAATAAGCCCAGACCTCCTGCTGCCTGTGAGTGAACAGAAGGGTGTAGGAAGGGAGTGGAAGGATGCATTGGTGATAGTTGAGAGGCATCCTCATAAAAAATGAAACTCTGGTGTGAGGAGATGCAGTGCCCTGTGTAGCACAATGTTCTGCCTAGCACAGCCCTTTGAAGTGTGTAAATGTACCATTGATTTTGAAAGGGCTGCTGCCATTTGAAACCAAAGACTATATTTATGCAACCTTGAGTCCCTTGGAGACACCTTAAGGTATTTTCATATCCCTCATTTTGTTATGAATTCCCCAGCCTGTGATCCCTGAGTAGACCAGTGATCCTGCAAACTGGAACAAACTTGCTTTGTTTTCGTTTATCTTACATTACTCGAAACAGTTCAAGTACTGAACCTGAGAATGAAGTAATTTTATTCTAGGATGAGTATTTTCTCCCAGGGAGCTGTTCTACAGCCTGTCAAATGCTCTAAATTAACCCTAATGTTCATTCCAGTTAACTTGCATGTCTAAATGTGCCCTTGTTAAGCATTTGTCAATGCTTATTGTACTTGTCTTTCCAGGAAACATTTGTGAAGCATTGAAGAATTAAAATAAGTCTTTCTGAAGCAAGTACAAAGTCTGGAATACAGCTTTAAAAGTGCCCAGTAGGCTCACTGTAGATGTAACCCTGGAAATGTTGTTCAACACTGAAATATTAGGCAAACATTGTCAAAAGAAGATTAATTTCAACTTAAGCATTAACTTAAAAGGCTGCTGTAAAATTCCTATAGCGATGATCGGGATTTATCATATAAATAGCTATAACATCTGTAGGGGACACACATTCTTCATATCATGACTAACAGTTCCATCTGAGAAACTTCTTTGCCTCTGCTGATTCTTTTTAAGTCTATAGCTGGCAGAATTTCTGTCTCAGAGACCATGGGGTTAGCTTCATGCTGTTAGATCTTATGAAATGAAACAATTTTGCTTTCCTGTCATAATATGATGAATTTCACTGGTACTGAAAATAGGGGTTTTTTTCTAAAAAAGTACTTGAGAGTGAAAAAGGTTGTAGGAAAAATATTTCTTTCTCAAAAATTCTTACGGAACAAAGTAAACCACAAAAACTGCAGCTGAAACCATTTTGTTGTAATTATTAGTATTTTGGTAGTGTCTAACATGCTTGTTGTGCTATGCATTTGGTTAGCAAATTTTAGAATTTAAGAATGCAATAATTATATTGGAATAATCAGTTAATGAAAAATTCTTTTAGTTTAGAAGAAAAGATGCTGTTCTATAACAGAAGAATTTGTAGGTCTCAAAAGCTGTCACTGAACACTGTTAATCCCACTTTAGTAACAGAAATATAAGCATAGAAAATGCAATCAGCTGTCTCAGCATGTCCACTGGTCACCAGGGAATGGTACTGGTATATTTCCTAATGCCAACTGAGAGGGCTTTTTGAGGTACCTCCTGTGATGTTTGGTATATCCTACATGTCACTGTTGAGGTGAGCCATGTGATATTCAGGTAATAGTGTTGGCAGTGAAATCATGAAGGGCAAGAAAGTTGTGGTTTATTCTGTGTTTTAAAAAAAGGACAAATGCCCTGAGAATACGCTTTCTCTGTGGTGGAGTCTCTTTTGTTATGTATGTCACTCAGGCAGTGGGATGGAGGAAATCAAAGGGCACAGAGTACAATAAAATGACAGTCATGGAAGCACCATGCTCTAGGAGTGCATCTTTGCACTGGCAGAAGAGAGAGGAGTGCCCAAGAGTGCACAGTGCCTTCAGCTGTGCTCTTCATTTGCTGTGCCAGCTTCCTGCTTCTCTCAAACAAAGAGATGAATCTCCAAAACCCGTTCTTCTGTCTCCCTGCTTGATCATAGTATGACTCTGGATTGATTAAATGAAATGCAGAGATTGCCTGTGGAATTCTATGTCACTGGTTGTGTCAATACTTTGGAAACATTGCAGTTAGCATCAGGAAGTAAACTGTAATAGCTGCCCATGCAGCTAGAGGCTGTCCTGAGGAACAGCTGCACACAAGCTGTTGTTGGGTCCCTGCTGCCCCAGCAAACAAACATAACGCAAGTTGAGGAGCCCCTGACAGTTCCTGAAATTTCCTTCATCTGCCTTCTCTTGACTCATAGTGTAAGCCAGTGACTCCGCTGGTCATTTCTCCTCTCTGCACATCTCTTTTTCCACCAGATGAGTGTATCCATGAGTCTCCAGCACCACACAATGCTGCCACCCCTTCATCCCCATCAAAGCTCCCATCCTTTCCTTTCTCACCTCTTGTATTTCCTACTATCATTCCCTTAATGTGGCCCCTACGATGTACCAGCTTGCGAGGCTACATGATTCAGCACAGGTGCTAGAGAACAGTTGAAGAAAATTATAAGGTTGGGGGTGGTCAGATGTTTTCCTCTCATAAATTCCTCTTGGCTACACTTCCAGATGTTCAGCAATTGACTTTCCAGGCTCTCACTATCAGCCCTGATTTAACCTGTCCTGTCATCAATCCCATTGTATGAAAGTCATCAGAACAACTACTAAGAGCACAAGGAGCTCTTCGCCTGAGTAAGAAAGAAATGAAAACCAAAAGGCATCTTGTAAGTGAGCATCTCTTGCTGACACTTGCTACTAGGAAAACCCAAAAGCAACTTGACTTGCCTGAAACCTTATGTCCCTGAAACATCAGGGCACTTGGTACTATCAGTTGATTGACTGGATCATATATCTAAGTACAAATTAACAAATCGATTCCTAAATTTTACCTGTGACAACTTCTTCACCCAGGATATGATAGAGCAGTTCTTCATTTCTTCTTAGCAAGGCCAAATAGTTTCAGGAACAGGGAAGAAAAGAGACATTTGTTGTTTGTAACAAAATCATTGACAAGTTCATCAGTCACCCTATAACCAGAGTATTTGATTAAAAAGTGTAAAAGGATTACTTGCAGAGTCTGTTACAGGGAAGAGTGGCAAAATTAACAGAGATACAGAAGAGCTTTCTGGATGAGGCAAATGACTTCTTGTGGTTTAGGTCCAGCTGACAATGAAGAATGTTGTGAGGTAGGAAGGAAAAAATCCAGCTGAAAGCTTGTGGGTAGATACAAGGACAGGAAGAGTCCAATCACCAGTTATGGTCATGGGCAAAACACACTTGACCCCTCCAACTTGAGTTCTTTCCACAAGGTGCAGTCCCCCAGGAACAGGCTGCTCCAGGGTGGGCTTCACACAGAGTCATAGCTTTCTTCAGGCACAGCCACCTCCCTGGCATGCTCCACGGCTGCAGGTCCACTGTGGAGGTCCCTTATGGCCTGCAGGCCCAGAGGGCTGGAGCACCTCTCCTATAAAGACAGGCTGAGAAAGTTGGTGTTGTTCAGCCTGGATAAGAGGAAGCTCCAGGAAACCTTATAGCAGCCTTCCAGTACCTGAAGGGGGCCTACAGGAGAGCTGGGAAGGGCTTTTTATAAGGGCATGTAGTGATAGGATGAAGGGTGCAATGTGTTTAAATCAGTCCTGTGATGAAAATGTTTAGATTTACCTTTTCCATTTTAATATC